ATATATATATATATATATATATATATATATATATATATATATATATATATATAACTTTTTATTTATAGTATAGTAAACCTTTTAAAGTAGAGGCTCAAGTTAAGAAAATTTTAAGATAAGAACCGTTTGTTAACCTCTTCCTAACACTCTTGCACTGTTATTGTTAATCAATGAACTCCTTCCACCATGTTTTAATAAGAAAACAAGTAGGTTGCTAAGCGCGTTCTTATAGTAACTATCTATATATATAATTAAATAAAGATAATTGATTCGCTTAGATAGAATTTGTAAACAGTTTAAATTTTTCTGTTTCAATAATTATTATATGTAGTATATTATACATTTGAATTTGTATAAATTATACCATTTTATATTTATTTAAGTAAAAAACAAAAATATGACAATTAATTTATTAAATTATTTTCTTATTTTCATACAAAAAAAATAATTTTGTTATTAATTTTTAAAAAGTTAAAAAATTGAAAATAAAAATAAAAATTAAGTTGATTTTTAATTCTTGGATAATGGATAAATATATTTTTCTGCAACTTCTGCGAGTAAAGATTAATTTTTGAATCGTTTATCCACAATTATATTATTATTATTATTATTACAAAAATTTAAAAAATTTTGGAATATTTATTAAAAACTCTACTTTATTATATAATCATTCAGTCAGTGAAATATTTAAAAAATTTATTAGTAAAAATAAAAATCTCTTTAAAAGAATGAAATCTTGCTCAAACGATTCAGATTAACTACGGAATTAATTAATTTCATTTCCGATTAATTTCATTTTTTTTCAGATGAAAATTTGTTAATTTTTATATCGTTAACAAAAGAAGATTGAAAGTAAGTTACAAACAAGAATCCGTTAACCATTGTTCCTAATAATGAATAAAAGCATAAACATGTATAAAGTGTTCACAACGGTTAACAAGTTCAAGTATTATCATGAATATTAATTGAATGCAGGTTGTTTCTGCATCTAAATGAACAAGTCAATTGTATCTAAAAACGGAAGAATTCAATAAGTAAGAATTTTGAAACAAATTTCCTAATTGCATAACAGTTTGAATACTGAATGAGAGTTTTTCGCTGAATTTCTCACTGAATAAAAATAAAATGAGCGAAATCGATTTAAAAAACGATTATCAATGTTTTCTGACAACAATATGCGTATATATTACATTCAATTTAATGTGATTAAACAATTTTTACATATTTTCTAAGAAAACCAAGAGAGATTTTAGAAGGAGGAAACAACGAATGTTATAATTAAAAAAAAAAACAGTTTTCTATACATCAAATAATCTGAAGAATACAATCTTCAATAAAGAATAAGAAGATATAAAGTATTTCTGGTTTTGAAATAACGAAATTTAGATTACAGAATACCATAAAAAAACAATTTAGTAACATTGATATTGAAATAATTGATATTGAAGAAAACTATATTTATAATTATTTTTTTATTTTAAATATTACTTTATTAATTAATTTATTATATTACTTAATTAATTTATTTCAAATATCTTTATTTTTTAAAGTATTTAACTGAAACCGGAAATGCATTATATAATGAACTATCGATGATACTTTTGAATTAAAGTTTTCAAACACTATATGTTTAATATGTCTTATGATAAAAAAGATTTAAACACAAACATTTGATAATCATTTTCGTTATGAAAAAAGAACTGAAAATTTAAATTTTCTGTCAAAAAATTAAACATAATTTTATTTGAACATATTTTAAAACATAGGGAAAAAATGAATATTATATTTTTATCAACAATTTATCATAACTTATTTTTTTCAATAAAAAAAACGTAATTTAGATTATTACATATCGTGCGTGCTTATTGGTTATTTTAAAATCGAAAAAAATTGTCAAATTAAAATATAGAAGTATAAGAAAAATCAAATTTTAAAGAACTTATTAGATAATTAA